TGCGGACATCATCGAGACTTAATTTCATTGTTATTGAGATTTATAATTTATGTTTTCTATTTTTATTGTTATTGAGCTTGTAGTAGTGGGTTGACCCAAACCTGTTAGTAGCTAGGTTTTCGCTATTTATATGATTTTCATATTGTAATTTAGACGGTTGATGAATATGATGAATTAAAGAGTGGCTTGTAGCCCGTTTTGTCCCCTCTTCCTCTTCCCCTCTTCTTCTTGCTTCTTCTTCTTGCTTTCCGTCTAACTTCTTGACTTTAATTCTAATTTACCCTAAATTCTAATTCATCCTGCTTCAATAGGAGCTCCGATCAGATGAAAAGGATGATCAATGCAATATAGTCTTCAACATCTTTGGTGATTCTGTCGTGTGCCCCTTTTCTTTCAGCTAGGTTTGATCTTGAGGCATGGTATAGATGCCATATGCATTTTGAATAATCACTTGTTAAGATTCTGAGATTTCTTTAATCAAACATTTTGTAGTCAATTTTTCTGAAACTATTGGAGGCATTTATGAATGAAGAGACGTCGATTTAGGATTATATTTATCTGAATATTGTGTGGAAAGAGATGCAACAAACCTCTTTTGTGGCTCCAAAACTTCTTTACTCCAAATGGCATGTTTGGCCATGAAAGAGGATTTGATATTACCAATCCCTTTTTTTTTTAAACGGTAACCAATCCCTTTTTTGAAAATATTAAGGGTAAAACTTCTTCATTCCAAGTGGCATGTGTGTCTGAAGGATTTTAGTCTGTGTCTGGCACATGTTTATAAACATTAATTTTTAGTTTTTTTATTTCGAAAAATTCACAAGTCTTATTTATTTATTTACTGTTCATTTATATTTATTTATAAATGAAATAAACACTTCCCAAACAGGACTATGTATAAAAAATCCTTCTTTATGTAGGGATAAAATTTAACATCCATAATTTATATTTTGCAAATGTTTTTCTCAAAACTAAATGTAAACTAGAGAACATTCACATTGTGCATTTTAAATTTTGGCTCTAACGAGATCAATTGTATCACTTTTTTCAATTAGTTTATGTGTAACTTTGTGATCGACGAATAATCTCTAAACACCTTTATCGTCTTAACAAATAAGATGATAGGAATTAGTTTTGCTCTCTCTAATGTATCTGAAGAGAGAGCTCAAAAAGTTGTATCAAAACCGGAAGCCTTCGAAGCTGGAAAATTCCTCTTGATTATTTTTATATTCGAAATTTTTTTGACGCCATAGCCATGTAATTTTTTTTAAATGAAATGATTTAAATTATATTGAAATTTTGTCGTGCTAAAATAATAAATGTTAATGAAATAATTAAATTTTTTTAAAGAAAAACGAATTAGACGCCTCTGTTTAACACACGAGTTTTACGGACATTTAATTATTTTTATTGTTTGTTTAAACTATTCGATATGTCTTTGATGTAGTTCGCGAAATACGTTTAGAGATAATGTAAGCGATTTATGGATTCGACTAGCATATGATCATCAGAGAAATTTTAAAGTTATCATGTTATCGAAATTATTGAAATACTAATTTGAAACTGTCTATTTAGACGTGTCGTAACATTTACTACGATTTGAAGTTTGACCTCCATTGACAACTAGAAAACTAAGTTGTGGGCATTTCGAAATGATATTAATAATATAATATTTTGACTTCGTTTGATATTTCGTAATGAAACATTTTTACTTGAAAGTGAAACAATATCTCATTTCATTTCGACTTTTTTTCTTTTTTCCCCCTTGTACTAATTTTTTTTTCCTGAAATAGGTTGTTCAGGCGAGTGCAGTGTACAAAAGCGTAGCAAAGAAAAACGAAAAGCACCTCAACTTTCTACTTTCTATACATACTGCAAACCTCAAAAGTTGATAGGCGTGCAAAGTGTATATAAGTGCAGTACACTATGAAGAACCCGAACCTAAATTTCAATCCATTTTTGTTGCTAAGCCCCTTGTAAATAAAAACCAGTGTATTAGTTTGAATTTACACCAGAATGCACCCAAAAGCAGAGGCTAATGGTCGTCCATTTTTTTTACCCTTTTCAGCTTCTTCAATAATCCCTTTTCAGCTTCTGTATTCCTCTTGCAGAGGCCAATGTACCCCCCTTTTTTCCTCTCCCATCATATCCCTTTTTGTCTGTATGCCAGTGAATCCTAATGAAATCACAGAGACAATATACACACTTCAGTTATCTATAACATTAAGCAAAGAAATACTTTGACAAGGTTCTCATTCTACGTACAGCAGCTGAATAGAAAAAGAGAGAGCTGAAATACAGAAAGAAGAATGCCATCTTCCATTTTCAAACACCTTGAACAGCACTACCACATTATTTGCTAGCTCCATGTCCATGCCTTCAATGCAATTGTGGGTTACAACCTCACTACCTATGATAGAGGTAAGATTTTGTTTCAAACTACATACCCTAAAAANTGAACTGCACTACCGCCTTCTTTGCAATCTCCATGTCCATGCCTTCAATGCAATGGTGGGTTCCACCCTCACTATCTATGATAGAGGTAAGTTTCTGTTTCAAACTACATCTCTCCAAAAAAATAACAGAAGTGTTTTTTACAGATTACAGACAAGTTTTTGGCATTCTACAATAGTGCATTTATTTATTTCAATTTCTGAAAAAAGATAAACTCGTTCATTCTCGTGGTCATTGATTCTGGAAAGAAATCTATATCCACCAACAATCTGTATCGGATTTTTTGTGTCTGTCTTCTGTGTTTTTGGGAAAGATATCATTTGAAGTTTACTCCTGGGAGCATTTTCAAAAACTAAAGGCATTGGAGATATGCTAAAGAAGAAGATTATATATAAACTAAAGGAAGAAGATGAAAGCTGGAATGAAGAACGAACCAAAGACAATTAGGAGTGAAATAATGTTCACTTTTTGGGGAAAGGGTATTCTTGTAATTGCATGTTAAGGACACTTGGGACATTTCAACAAATAGAAACGGATTATTTAGACATTTTAACTTATCCAGCATTAGTATTACAAAATAAAATAAAAAATGCAATAAGATATCTTAAGTTATCGACTTAATATTATGTAATTAAGTGTATTATAAAAAATAATAAAGAAATTAATACTCAGTTAGTAACTTATTAAAAAAAATATATAGAGAGAAAAAAATTTCATGAGGGACACTAACAACTTATCGTCAATCATCGATGACCGATGCACCATTGCTAATTTCCGACGATATCATCAACGATGGTGTCGTCAATAATTGATAATGAAATGTATCGATAATAAATGATGGTAATTGCTTGTGATTTCGTAATTTCTTATGAAATTAATCAAGTAACAAATATTAATTTTGGTCAGAATCACTTCAAGAAAATAATCGGCGGTGGTCATCCATGGAACATTTGTTGATTATTTTCTCCAATTGATTATTTTATTATCATTTTTGAAAATGCTCCCATGAATTAATTTGTTATTGATGAACATGTTCGGCTAACCCCAAAGCAAAATTAACTTTTAAGCTTAATCAAACATGTTTGACAAAACAGTTACTTTAAAGTATATTTATTTCCCAAACATATTAAACTCACTTCTTAACAAAGTAAAATTGCTTCATTCTATGCTAATATCGTCCGCCGAGTAGTATTATATATATTAATATTATGTTATTTGGAACCACGCATTCACAACAAAGTTTTGGTTGATGATTGAAAAAAAAAAACCGTTGAATGTCAATGATCGCAATACCGAGATTGTTCATTAATATTAAATTAAAAAATATTAAAAAATTCTTCAAGCAATATATAAATGCATTAAAACGTGTGTGTCTATATATACACACACACGGATGGATGAACTCTTTTGATTGCATGGGATATGATTCTCTGTTTCCTGAAAATTCAGTCCCTCTTTGTTTGTATTTTGATGGTCGGCACCAACAATCTGTATTCGGATTTTTTGTGACCGTTTTCTATGTTTTAGGGAAACATGTTAATTTTTCTGCATTTTGGGAAACGTTTATTATTTGAATTTTACTTCTGGTGAGCACACATCTTTCATTGATCACATTGCACTTACACATTACCATGGACATTAGCAATAAAACCCCTCTTCAAAGTTTTGTATGGATACCTCAAGCATTTGTTTCTTTAATCGCAAAACTTAACTGCTTGTCTATATTGTTATCGACTCGTGAAAATCGTCATTGGTTATTGTTTCACCATGATTTTTTCTATTTTATGTGCTTGTAGATTCTTCTTTGGGCAATAGATATTGCCTCCCACCGAGGGAATTACAGGAAATATTTTACGGACAGAAAAAACAATTTGCACTACTTTCTCCATGCAAACGTAAAACAGTAATTATGTATAAGCAAAATGCAACTACTTTGTCCGAATTATCTAAGCCACACGAAAAGCTGGCTGGACTTCGGATTGATGACAACAGTAATATGACACCTCATGTGTGAGTAAAATAATTTTTTTCTCAGTAAGTTCTTATGACTTGGGACTTTGATAACAATGTTTTTCTGTTCTTATTTCTAGGACATATTATACAGATATAGCGATAAAAATGAAAGAAATTTCGATGGAGGTAACCAACCTTCCAAATGGTGCAAAAATCAGATCTGTGAATTGGTAAGACTTAAGTTGTGTGACCTCTATGTATCATATTTCAAAATTGTTTCATGAGGTCTATGCATAGTGATTTTTTACTTTGTTAAAACCAACCGCTTATTGCCACTTGTGATGTAAATACATTGGATCAAACTCTAGAAGGAATGTGTGTAGGTTTAATTGAGAAAAAGATTTTTCTATTTCACACTCGTAATGTATATAGTACTGGTAATAAGGACTAAAAAAGGAAAATACAAATCTTCAAAATTTGAGAGTTAGTAGACACGTGTACAATTGTACAAATCAAACCACTATCTAGCTTTTCTTTTTGTGCCATGGATTGTTTTTGATAGCTCATTTTTTGTTCCAACTAGGTCAAACGATAGTCAGCACATATGCTTCAGTGTGCAAACTGATGAGGTAAGTCGCTCTAATTGTATAAAAATACCTTTGTTGTTCAGTATTTATCTTAACAATACCAAGTTGGTACACCTTGAGTTTCACTTGACTGTCATAATGATGTTTTAATTGAATGCAATTTCGTTACCTTAAACAAGTTTGATTTCATGTGTTTCTTGAGATATTAATTTTATTTCTCCCATTGCAATGACCTTTTGCTTCTTAAACAGGAGGATGGCACTGGTAGCAAGTTAAAAATATGGGTTGCAAATGTGGAAACAAGGGAAGCTAGACCTTTGTTTCAAAATCCTAACACATTTTATAATCCTCTTCTTGTTGGGTATGTTTCAACTTTAATTTTTCCATTGTTCATGAATAATATTTTGATTAACTGATCTCTATCTCTCTCGTTATGCTTTCCAGATTTTTTTGGACAGATAATTCAACAATTTTGGTTCCTATCATTCCTCCGAATCGTGTACGTCCCCCAAGTAGACCAAAGGTTCCATTTGGTCCCAAAATAGATTGCAATGAGCACATGGACACAGTTAGATTTCATACTTATCAAGAACTTTTGAAGGATGAATACGATGAGGATTTGTTCGAATATTTTGCAACTTCAGAGCTGGTTTTGGTATCTTTGGATGGAAAAGTGAAGCTCTTTCGAGCACCAGCAATTTATACGTCATTGAATTTAGTTTCATGGTGCAATATGATCAGTATTGAATATACCGAAAGACCATTCTCGTATTTTGTTCCTTGTAAACGTTTTGAAAAATTACGTGTGAATCAGCCTATAGAAGGAAGAACTGTTAAAGAATGCAATAGGAGCTCTATGGATTGGTCAACAAAAGCGGCTTCCAAACATACAGGGTATGACAGCTATTATTTTAGGAAATAATATTGTTATATGCATTTGTGATCAAATGAGCTCAAGTGCAATTTGAGGAACGTCCTGTTGCTAATGGAATTTTATCTGCTGAATTACAAATAGGGTCTCGTCTCAGAACACACACGATAGTGGTTCCAACAAGGAGGCGAAACAAGAATGCCTATTTAAAAAGAAGTTCCCCTATCCTTACCCTGTGCAGGATATAAAGAAGATCAAATTTAAAAGGAAGGATATGGTAGAACTAGGAGCAAACTTATGTCTCCCACAGGACTACAATCAGGCTAGAGATGGACCACTCCCATGCATCATCTGGCCTTACCCTAATACTAAAATCAAATCGAGTGATAAGTACTATTTTCGCCCATTATCTCCCTTGGTTTGGCTAGCGAGAGGGTATGAATTTCTTTCGATTAAGATTCTATCTTTCTTATGTTGCTCATTGATTAAAGTTCTCATTGCCAACTTAATGTAATTACAATTGCTCTCCAAACTTGCAGGTTTGCTGTCTTATTTGATATATGTATACCAATCAAGGATGAAGACAAGGCATATGACGGGTATGATAATGCTTCCAAGACATCTATGCTTATTTTTCTTTTTAATTAAAAAGGCTAATTTACCAAAAGACTTGGACCCTCTACAGAAGTAAGGAAAAAAAAAAAAACTAGTGCTACGAATGCTAAGTTGGTAACTTGCAAGAAGAGATAGAGACGTGTGTGAACTCTTAAGCAATTTTTACATGAAAGACGTAATATAAGTCAATTTTCATATGCACAAGGTATGTTGAGGAATTAGTGTCAACTGTAGAGGCTGCGGTGCAGGAGGTCATCCGTCTAGGAGTAAGTTTTTCCGCTCTTTGCTAATCATTACTCAATGGTATAATTAGATTTTGAACATGGAAAAACTGATTTCGGACTTTCCTATAAAGGTGGCTCATCCAAAAAAAATTGTTATTGGTGGTCATTCCTTTGGCGCTACCCTGACTGCCCTCCTCCTTCAACATGCTAGCCATTTGTTTTGTTGTGGAATTGCGTTGTCTGGGGCATATAATAGAACACTTACCCCTTTCAGGTTTCAGGTAACAATCCATTTTTCGAACAATTTTGGATTTAATAGGGATGGTGGAGTTGTCATTCATTCCCTAGACTATGTTTTTATTTTGCTTGATTTGACAATTCTCCAATTGTTTTACAGAGTGAAAAAAGGACATTTTGGGAGGCCAAATATACTTATGTTGAAATGAGCCCTTTTATATCGGCTGATAAAATTACAAAGCCCATTTTACTTGTACATGGAGAAGATGACAGCAATCCCGGAACGTGGACAATGCAGGTGGGATCCTGTTTATTTTTATTTTTAATACAAAATTAAAAAAGTATGATTCTCTATACTTGACACACTCTCACATCATCATCTTTTTATTATTTATTTATTTATTTTTCTTTTGCGGACAATATGTTGAGCTGCTTTACTGATATTGTTTACAATAATGCAGTCCATTCGCTTCTATAAAGCTTTGATTGCCAATGGAGCATGTTGTCGCCTGGTCATTCTTCCTTTCGAGAATCATACTTACTTAGCAAGAGAGAACATTTTGCATGTTTTATGGGAAACTGACAGGTGGCTTCAAAAATATTGTGTAGCTAATTCAGGTGCAAGAACAGATGGAAAAGTCTAATTTTTCTAATGATCAAGGTAACTTTTTCATCTTTCTTGCAATGAAGAGATGACAAAAAGAAGAGGGAATTATGATAGGTTTGCAGTGAAGAAAACTCTAGAATTGAAAGAAGAAAGAAAAATAGCCGGAACTTCTGTTATTTCCACTGAAACTGATCTGAAGTGTGCCAGCACATAGCTTACTATCTCTTACGACAGAACGAAAAATGTACAGACTTAAATATACCTATGCTAACGTGTCTCAATGCTCCCCCTCAAGATGGAGAATGTATGTTTAATATTCTCATATTGTTTAACAATGATTTGAATCTGGCTCCCCCAGAGGCTTAGTTAGCAAATATGCCACTTGATCTTGTGACACCATATGCAAGCATCTTCACTTCTCTTGCTTGCACCTTATCCCTTACAAGATGGCAATAGATTTCTATGTGTTTCATTCTTTCATGAAACAGAGGATTGCTGGTTATATGTAAGGCAGATTGATTATCACAAAACAGTAATGCTGCTTTTGTATGTGTAACGCTTAAGTCATTGAGTATACTCTTCAACCAGATAAATTCACATACTGCAGCTGCCATAGATCGATATAACTCCATATTTAGTGTGAAGACTAGGCTAGTATGCAGTACTCGACAAGATTCAACAATATAACTCCATCTTCTTGATTTCATTAATACTATTCAATATTTTATAGTCTACCTCAGCAAACCATGTACACTTCTTCCATTCGGGTTTAAATGGATTGCTTTTACATGAGGTGGTTCAACAGTTAGCCTCTAATACAAACTTAGAGAACATGGGAAAATGTGTTTGGAAGATCCATTTGACGTTCAAAAATTCCAGGTATAATGTAGCATCAACAAAAAAACTCTTTTACTCTCACTGTATCATAGTTCCTTATCATATCCAAAATGATGTAACTGATAATCCATTAACTGCTTCTTTTTGATCCACATGTCCTAGGAATTTAGAATTGGCCACTAGGACTTGGACAAACCCTTGAGATTTACAAGGAAAACCGGATGAATTTCTTAATGGTTAAATTACAGAAATACGATAGCATTTAAATTCTAAAATATTTACAATTCTATCAAAAATTTAATTCAACAGACTTGTATATTTCATAATTCTATAGTTTTCACTTACGAAAGAATGACAACAATTATATACATTAGCTTTTTATAAGGCTGGTGAAATGGCATTTGATTGATTCAGTTAGTGAATATC